TGCAGGAAGAGTGGGGCCCCTGGGGGGTGGCACTTTGAGGGCTGCTCCAAGGGGCAGAGTAAAAGCTGGGGCCCAGCACCAATCCTGGGGATCCGGGACATCCCCGGACTCTGACCCCTGTGTCTCGGCAGGTCTACGGCGCTGTGATGCATGTGAACCGCGGGAACCCGGCTGGCCACGAGGTGCTGGTGGATTCATGGCCAGAGTTCAACATGGTCCTGACCCGGCCACGCAGAGAAGTGCGGCCTTTGCTGGGCCCCTCCCATCTGCCCCGCTCCCCTCCCCCACCTGATGCCATCACTGCGTTGCTCCCCTCCCCCACCTGATGCCATCTCTGCCCCTCCCCGACTTCCTTGCCCCTTTCCCTGCTTGGTGTCATCTCTACCCCTCCCCCTTCTCTCTGCCCCACCTCCCCACAGCCTGTCTCACCTTCCTGCTGCCCAGATGCCCCATCCCATTCTATCCTAAGCCCCCTGGCTCTGAATTTCTTCCTAGTACTCGCCATGGCTCTGACTCCCTCCTTCCCCCCACCCAGCTACACCCTTGACAAAATCAGCATTTTTGTAATATTTTTATGAACCCTGTGTGTGCCTCAGTTTCCACTGGCTCCCCAGTGGGGGAAGCAGATTAAGTTTGCTCGCAGTGCTAAGCGACACAGGCAGTTTGCTTTCAGTTAGTGCCAGCGGTGGGATACTGAATGCGCCAGTAGCAAAGCACAGTCCGTCAAAGGAAACAGCAAGAAAATGGTGTATAACCACCATCCTAAGAAGCACATTGCACAGGAGAAAGGGCGAAGCTTTGGGAAGTTCAACAAGGCGCCGCTGACTGCAGGCTGGAGAAGGGTGACAGGACTCAGCAGCAGGTTCCAGACCCAGGTGGGGTTTGATGAGGGTCCGAGAGGGACAGAAGCAGCAGCAGGGTGTCCTCACGACCTGGTTCCCCTTCAATAGATAGTAGGAGTTAGGGTGGAAGGCAAAGGCGCTAGCAGACCGTGAGGGGGAACCAGCTGGCTGTGAGAAGCAGCAAAAACATGAACAAATGCAGCAAAAGCTTGATCTGGAGATGTGGAGGGGCGAGAGAACCCATCAAGGGGTAAGTGGGCAAAGGCCTCAGGGATGCTGGATTGCGCAGCGACCTGGATACTAAATTGTCCGTTTAAGGAGGAGGAGGGGCTGTAGACACCCACCTCACTGCCTTTGAGAAGGGTTGTGATTTGATCCTGGTTGACCCTGCGGACCAGCTCTGCTGTCTCACCCCCATGCTCGGGCCCCCAAAGCCATAGAGACGTACAGCCAGATGGACGGCGTTAATACTGGGGACTGGGAACTGTTCAAAAAGGCTCCACTGCTTATGTTTGACCTGACACCTGAGGCTTACATGAAAGGGTTTTGGGGTGTGCAAAAGACCCAGGGTGGGACCTAAATGGAAGCCAGCTGCCGACTGGGAGAAGCCCTCCCGACAGCTCGGATCCCAGTGGAGACACAGGTCTCGGGCCGGGGGGCTGGTAGTCATGGTTCTCCTGGACATCGGCTCTGACCTCCTGCTGAGACTTTCTGTATCACCTTAAGACAAAATCCAGTCCCTGATCCTGCCCCAGCCAAGGGTTTGAACCCCAGGAGCCAGAGGCTCAGACTGGAGGTGTCAGTGAAAAGGCGAATAGCTCGGCCGGCAGGGAGCAGGGGCCCCTCCCTCCCTATTGCCCGTAACACTAAGGAAAGGCTGTTGAGCTCAGGACACCTGTCTGTCTGGAAGTTGACCCCTGTATTTGAGTGGGGCAGGGGAACCGTCCCATCTCCATACGGGAGATGTGAGTCACACGGGCTCCGGCAGAACTTCCCTCAGGCTGTGTCCAAGGGAGCCAGCTGGCAGCCTGCTCTCCCTGGGGAACAGAGTCAGAGCTGAACCTGGTGGGAGCTGAGCCCCCAGCTGAGCATGGGCAGACACGGGCAGGGCATGGCCAAGGTTAAGACCCAGAATCGCCAGCAGGGGGGCTCTGGCCTGGGGTGAGGGCAAGAGGTTAGCCCCAGGAGGGGAAATGTATTCCTGGCATACACACAGCCCTGGGGTTGGGACACAACCAGCGTAGGGGAGCCCCCTGCATCACCAGACCCTGGGACACCAGCGCCCCAGAGACACGGCTGGGCTAAGACCAGCCTCGCAGGGGGACACACCCACACTGATCCCCGAATGCTCATGGGGTCACTCCCTACCCCAGCCTAGGGGTCAGGACACCCCAGGGTGCAGCCAAGATGGCCGACACATGGAGGAAGGGGGGGGCCGCAACCCTTCTAACTCCCTGGCAGATGGGGGGTGTGTGTGCAGTGGCTGGATCCCATCCCAGTTTCAAACCCAAAGGTTTTGCGGTGGCAAAAGGGTGCTGAGGCTGCATGAAAACTCCCCACTGCCCCCTGCTAGTGTCATCAAACAGACCTGCCCTAAGCGTGGATGTGAGACTGCTCTGAGCTGGGTATTGGAAAGGGTGAGTTTGATTCGAGCCAGCTGTCAGCATGCTGACCGTGCCTGGTAGGAGAGGGATGGGGAAGATGCTGTGGCTTCTATGGATAGCATTTGGGGGTTCAAACCCTTGGCTGGGGCAGGATCAGGGACTGGATTTTGTCTTAAGGTGATACAGAAAATCTCAGCAGGAGGTCAGAGCCGATGTCCAGGAGAGCCATGACTACCAGCCCCCAGCCCCGAGACCTGTGTCTGCACTGGGATCCGAGCCGTCGGGAGGGCTTCTCCCAGTCAGCAGGTGGCTTCCATTTAGGTCCCACCCTGGGTCTAGTGTGCTCTCCGCATCCCTTTCATGTGACCCTCCCGCCCCAGCTCCAACGTCAGCTGGGGT